GCGAGTCTCCTTTAGTTTATTTACCTAGAAACTGCAGTCGTCTTTATCATTCCTCGTTTAAAATTAACACGAGATCGAGTTTCGCAAACTCAATGTGGGCGAAGCACTTGTCCGTTTTTCAAAAATGACTTATAATAAGTATGGGTGAGCTTCTTTTAGTTTGTTTACCTATTTACCACAGTCTCCTTCATCGTTCCTTAATAACATGAGATTAAGTCACGCAAACTCTAAAGTTGGCGATAATAAGTATGGGAGAGTTTCATTTAGTTTGTTTACCTATGTACTACAGTCTCCTTGATCGTTCCTCATTGTAATAACATGAGACCAAATCTCGCAAACTCTAAAGTGGGCGAAACACGTATCCGTTTTCCAAAAATTACTTCTGGTAATTAGAGGGTGCATTCTTTGTTTTATTTACCTAGGTACTGCAACATCCTTTATCATTTCTCGCTCAGAATGTAACACGAGTGGGCGAAACACGTGTCCGTTTTTCGATAATTACGTGTGGTAATTAGGGGTTTATTTAGTTGCCACAGTTTCTTTAATAATTTTTCTCACATATTAATCCAAATTAAAGCCATGGCGATCCAACTAGCCATTGAAAATTCTACTCATAATTTGTGGTAAAAATAAAAATCGAAAATTTCCTGATAACATTACTATTTACCTTATAAGAACAAAATATCTAAACATTCCGTTGTTACATTTGGTATATTTAAACAACTGGCGGCAAATCTGAAGGGGCACTCCAGGGTTCTCATTAAAAAATATACCTACACTTTTGACAAGCATATATCTTATGGTATACACGGTTAGAACAATTTAATTTTTTTAATGTTATCGGGTACTGTACCCATTAATCCAAAATATATCAAATATTGATAGTAATCCGTCCTTGTGCATTGTGCTCATATACAGCAACGTTGTTACGTTTTTTCCTGAGCTTTTTGGTCAGTTTACACCAAAGAGTAAAAAGCAAAATGGGATAGAACAAACTAACCGAGTATATTATTTATGCTCTCGCCTGTTTCTTATCATTTCAAACAAATTGTACAGCATGGGTTTATCGAATGATTGAGAGCTTAGGCTCATGAGATTGTACGTATCTCCCATCGAGATACACGTGTAAAAATAATTATGATTTCCGAAGTAGGTGCGGAAATCCATAACTGAGTAGTAATGAGCTCTGAATTCTGCTGCTGTTACCATGTACCATGTACCTAATACGCTCCTGTCGTATTATCGTATTATTATGTCCTAAATCTGTGTCAAAGATCGTTGACGATCTCATGAAACTAATTTGTCTATCCCTTTTTGTTTAAAAGGTACCGTATGATCTTTTCTGTACACCTGACAATGTGTATACAAAATTTCATGATGATTGGTTGAGTAGCTAAGGAGTGAAAGGGCAACAAACAAACTCACATTCGCATTTATAATATTGGCTAGGATATGAGATTATAATTCAGGTCGGCCAAATTACGTGCTTTTTGCGATTGAAATGCTTATAATAACTGCTGAAACCTTTGATGGTTTTTACTAATCTCGGTACTTTTTGCTCATTGAGATGAGTTTGTACCCCTGCCAGTAGGTCTCGCACTACATGGTGATCATTAAATATTGTCAAACTACTGTAACACTTGAATCTCTTCAATGCAACCAGTTATATTTCAGGTAAAGAAAATCGAGTTGAGAAAAATTTTTACATTAGCTGCATTCCAACTTCTTAATTTTAGTTTCGAAGACATAATGTAATGTTTACAATCTCAAATCATGATGTTCGGTAATATAAGAATTTCGTTCGTGTTGTCTTTTCCTACTTTATGATTTTTTTTTACTGATTTCTGTAATATAATATTGAACCAGCTGCTACTGATTTTTCCGAATTTAGCATTTAAAAAAACTCGATCTCAAATCTTGACTTAGAGAAAAATTCTAATTACAGAAGTTGAGAAATTACTTTTATTTATACCACTATTTTTCGAGGAAGCAGTTTTTAAATGACGATTTTTTCCAAACAACTGCAAAATGTTATAACATGTTTTTAATCATAATAAAGTTGTGGTCCCACGAAAATAATTCATTCNCTTGACGTCTTTACCGACCCCATTACCCCCTAATACCGTGGGGCTGAACGTGTCGAACAATAATGTAAGATCTATACACAAAAAACGTATTTTTGTATCAATTTTCTGAGTATATTTCCTTTTGTAGAAATTACCAACGTTTCTCGCTCAAGGTTTTTTCAAGGAATTATTACAAGTTAATACTGTTCACCTTTTCCTTGATGAAGTTTAATAACTTTGAGCGAAACGTTGGAAACTTTTATAATAAAAAGAATTTTATGTAATAAACTCAGAGAATTCATAATTAAACATATTTTTCCCTGGATAATATTCAAAAATGGTGTATAGTGAAATCACGAAACAAATCTTGACTTAGAGAAAAATTCTAATTACAGAAGTTGAGAAATTACTTTTATTTATACCACTATTTTTCGAGGTAGCAGTTTTTAAATGACGATTTTTTCCAAACAACTGCAAAATGTTATAACATGTTTTTAATCATAATAAAGTTGTGGTCCCACGAAAATAATTCATTCGATATGCCTACCAAAATGTTAATCAATTATCAATTAAACCACTTACCGCCCACATTGCGTGAGAAACAGCCATGTACTAAGCTCCGAACTGATAGAAGTGTGACCTGCAAGAAATAATTAATATGGAATATTACACGAGACATATGGCATTAACTTATTAATAACTATACTTTAAATTAACTTGAGTACGATCAATAATAAGAGAATTAGAAAAATACAAATACAGCGGTGGCGAGTTGACGACCGAACAAGGGGATGTTAATTTTTTATTCATCCAATCACAACATCAAAGGGCGGTATCATCTTGAAAAATTCGAACAAATAACGTCAATGTTTTTATTATAAATTTAATTTCTGATAACTCCAAAAATCTTTTCATAATTTTTTTTGCACTTAGTTTTTAGAAAAAAAAAATAACAAAATGGTATCCCATATTTGATCACTTGACATAATAATAAAATTCACAATTATATATAATTTTAACAATAAAGAAATCAGATTGCATTTTATAACTTATTAATACCCAAACTTTGTAAAATTTAACATTTGGAATGTGTTATTTTTAGATACCAAATTGAATTAAGTCACACATTTCCTACATGTGTGTAATAAAGTGTTATTTGTCGAATGAATAATATTTACAGCTTTCTTTTATCAGTCGTTCCAGATTGATACACATTTCCTATATTTGTAACACGAAACAGATAAAAAAATCACCGACAGAGCTGCAATTACGTTTTTAATTAAATTATGTATTATTAAAATATGTTAACATTTAATGAACATTTACTAATCAGCCCTGTAACCATACTAAAAATTTGCTAATGGGATGCTCTGGTCTACAGTCTAAACCACGTGACAGTAAATTTATACTTTAATAAAAAAATATATGGATTTAATGTAGATGCAGAAAGTAGTCTACTGTTACTTGGTTGAAATTCATAACGAATGTAGAAAATGATATCCAGTCCCACTATTTTTGAAATAATTTTTATGAACTGTTTTTCGTGAATAAATAAACTTTAAACGTTGTATTTGTGCTTGGAAATTTTCGTAAAAACCATTTAAAAATACAGTCGAACTTTGATAACTCGAACTGCGATGTGACACATAAAAACTTCGAGTTATCAAATAATACTTCTTTAATTAGTATTTATTTGTGAATAAAAATTTATCTATTTATTTCAGTAAAAATTGGTTAAATGTTTCATAAGTGCCTTAATATCTATGCTTTTCAAAGGAATGACAAAAATTATGAAACAGTACTATCAACATATATGTACATATATATACATATATGTATGCATTTACTGTTTTACTGTAAAAAAGTCAGTTACTTGTGACTGATGAACGGATTTCCTATTTTGGTTTTCGAAAAAAGTTACAATTTCATTTAAACTATTATACAGGGCATCGGTTGTATATTCACTGGCTTTTAAATAGAAACGCAAGACACTCAACGAATTTTCAAATTTTTAAACAACAGACAATGTTTTTAAAGTACGTTTGATGACATATTAACACACGCAAAAATGTCTTCAATGTAATATATAAATGAAATAGGCACAGCATTTTTTACTTATTGTTAGTAGTAACTTGTAAGTAAAACAAGTGAACTTATCAAGCGCAGAAATTGAACTGCCTGCATAAATACGTTAAAAAAGATTAATTATGGGATTCCCTCAGAAAATTCGACTTATCGAAGTTGGCGCAAAATATTTTGTTGGAGTTATCAAGATATTCGAGTAATCGAAGTTCGAGTAATCAAGAGAAATTTACACGTATTTCCTACTTTTGACGCTATTGCCAACCAATTTGGTTCGACTTATCAAAAATTCGAGTTATCGGAGTTCGATTGTATATGCATTGTGAATTACAATAAACCGCTAATTAATTTTTTGTTTTACTGATTTGAAACCCAACTTTACTGTACAACGGTTTTTAATTTTTCACTGTCCTTCGCAAATTTAAAACATTAAAAACAATCGTCGTAATATATTAATTGTAGCTTAATGGTAGAACAATGGCGCGAGACCCGGGATCAATTCTCGGCGACGGGCGTGACAGCAACAACAATTTCCCTCATTAATTTGAGGTTATCTGTACTGGTAAAAATTCATTCAAAAATTAATTAAGTTTAATGTATGAAATTAACCCTGCAAATATTTTTCTAATAATTTATAAAATCGATAAAAATTACATATTAGTGATTTATTCCATGGAAAAAAAATTCACCATTTATGTATTATTTACCTGTGTTAATAGTAAATAAACAAAATTAACGTATTTTATTATGTCTATATAGTAATAAGAACCTTTTCGCGCCGCCTATGTATAACAAGTTTTAATGTTTGGCTAAATGGAGAGAAAGCTAAAAGTTTTTACCGAGATTTATCGATTGTTATCGATCGATGAAGTATAGATCTCCAAAGCGCTGTGGTACACCATAACAAACATTAAAAAATAGTAAATAGGCAACATAACAAGAAGTAGAAATTGTTTTCACTCGCGCTGTATTACATATTTTGTTTATTTGTGCAGTGTTTAGCTGTTCTAGTCTTGCAAAAATGTTAGCCTAGAGGAAATTAAGTGTTGTTCAATGTTGGTAATTTTCTGTTTGCATGATATCAGCTGTTGTTTTTAACAAACTACTGTAATAATTATTGCCTAACATATACTAGATACATATATATATATATATA